GCTGATTCCAGGAAGCCTGGGGAAAAGCAGCTCTGCCTCGGGTTTCCTGTAGTCAGCCGCTGGTCAGTTTCAGCAGCGGCTGAATCGGGGACACCTGGGGTACAATATGTACCAGTTCTGACTTACATACAAATTCAACTTAAGAACAAACCTACAGTCCCTATTTTGTACGTAACCCGGGGACTGCCTGTATTTTCATTTATTTTATATAAATAGTAAGTAGATAGTCACCATCTCTAGGCAAGATATTTGTTTATTAATATTTATTAATCAGAATGTATAGATTATCCTCTCAGTTTGGGCTGTCAGTTCTCTGAATAGCTCCACTAAGTTACTGTATTGCGAAGCTAGAGAGGTTAGGGGAAGAAAAGGGAGAATTAATTATGCAGTTGTCATGGATCACATAGCAATAGGTACCCACATCAGAGAACCGGTAAAGTTCATATACTGTCCCATAATTTTTTTTTTTTTTTTGAGTTCCAGAAGCAGTCTTTAACAGTAAAAGAATGTACATTATAAGTAATCTTTCAAAGACTTAATTTTTACAGATCTGTCTAATTTTTTTCCAGGACTGTTTATAACTCTGAAGTTATCTGAACATGTGTGATATACTAGCTACTATTCTGTGCATGAATGCATGTGTATTTTTTATTTAAATCTGAAAATTATTGTATGGTCTAGTTTTCATAGTGTGGATAAACCACTATATTTTAAATGTAGTCTAAATTATTAAAACTTCGTATAAGTGTTTTCAACTGATACCCAGCATATGCATGTGTGTCATGGTTGACACTGCTGCATTTGTGGTGTATATGAGTGGTGTGTGTATATTATGTCAGAGCAAAAATGAGAGCTGGTCTGCACTAACATTGTAAATCGATCTAAGTGACACTGCTTCAAGTCAGCATAGCTTAGGTTGACTTAGAGTAGTGTCTATCCCGAGATGCTCTCCCGCTGACTTACCTTCCGCTCTTGGGGAGGTGAGGTAGAGACTTTGACAAGAGATTGCTTTGCTATTGACTTAGCTTGCCTTCACCAGGCCCACTAAATCAACACTGCTACATCGATTGCAGCAGTGCTGTTTTAGCTGTAAGTATAGACAAGCCCTGCGAAGTAGGTGGGAGAACAGAGGCGAAGGAAGTTTACTGGTTTTAATTATATGAATTGTATCCTTTGAAACAGTCTGAAAAACAAGCAGAAGCTGAGGAAGCAGCAGTAGCTGTGGGAGCAGCTGCAACAGTGGCAGCAGCAACAACTGCAGTTGTTGTGACTTCTAAAGTAAGCCCTAAAAGAGGAAGACCAGCAGGTAATTTCACCATAAGTCTGACTTAATGTTTTCCCCATTTAATTTTTAATAGAGAATGGAAAATTTACTTGTATAGATATACAAGTATTACAATGTATTTGCTCTCTAGGGCTGTGTCTACATTAGAGAGCTTTATAGTGGTACAACTGTACTGGTGTAGCTGCACCACTGTAAGATGTCTTGTGTTTCTGCTCTATGCTGATAGAAGTGACCTCTCCCATTGACATAATTAAACCACCTGCAACAAGTGGCAGTGGTGAGCTGTGAAGGTGGGAGAAGCTCTTCTATCAGCATAGCACTGTACGTACCTTCGCTTATGCCAGTGTAATATCACACCTCCAAGTGATGTAAGACGTAATGTAAGCATAACTTAGTGCTAAAGGTCACCTCAAAGTATTAAACAGCGTAGGACTAGGGTTGTGTGCCGAGTATTCAAATATTGAGTTTCAGCTATTAGATTTTGTGACAAGTTCACTGAATTAATATATGTATTACATTGCTGTGACGGACCAGGCCGGGTCTGGGCACAGCTGAGGGTGTCCACTCAGGGCAAATTGCTCAAATTCGGGGCTCCTTATAGCCCCCAGACTGGAGACCTTTCCAAACAGGCCACAAGCCAGTCCCACAGAGTGCTTCAGCTGCCTGCCTGAAGCCTCACTAGCAAAACCCCTCCAACCACCCTAGCACTATCTGTGCCCCAGATGGCCCCAGGCCTCATGCACAGGTGAGGGGTTCTAGAGCCCAATCTCACCTTCCCTGAACAAGTTCTGTCCAGTTTCAAGAAACCAGCCACAGATCCCAGGTCAATTTACCCTCTAGATCTTACCCACAAATCACGCTGAGCCAGTCCTTTAGAATCTAACATCTAAGGTTTATTACTACAAGAAAGAAAAGCATGAGATCACGGTTGCTAAAGTATCATACATTACATGCATCGAATCTCCCAGTTCTCGATGCAGGCTCGCAGCAGAGATATTATAACTGCTGGCTTTAAAGTCTTTGGTGAACATCCTGCGTCAGGATGGGTCCACAGCTCTTTCTGGCTCTTCGATCCCTGCACTGCTGTCTCTGGGATGAATGGCTGAGCTGAGCACCAAGATGGAGTCGGCCACATGGCATATTTATACCTTCTTCCCCGTCTCTTTTTGGCCACAGCAGGTCACCTGGACAGCAGCCTATTCTTGTGTTCCCTGCTGGTAGCCCTTAGGTAACAGTCCCTATTCTTGAGGTGTGTTCTTGGCCTGTGGAGGGCTATTGTTCCATAGAGACTTGCTCATTAGCATGTCTATAGGTCAAGCTCTGCCCATTACTCAACCACATACAGAGAAACATTCAGTACCCATACCAAGTGCATGCTTATAACTTCACACACAGACATTATACAATTACATGAATAGCATACATAGAATCAGAAGAAAGTAAGCTTCTATTTGACACCTCACATGGCCCCCTTTGTACCACTTTTGGGGCCAAAACCCCCCCCCCCCCCCCGGGTGCACCAGTAATCTGGCTGCTTCCCTAAAATCCAGTAACGTGACAATTGCGATACAAGTATCCCCTCACCATGCTGTTGATGTCACAGCTGTTGCAGAACGCTGCTTTGTCTATAGAGTTTGGTAAAAGCTAGTTATTTCCTTGTGGCCTAGATTTATATTTATCACAAAAGTTATAAAACTGATACTTTGTAAAGCATGCCTGTGGGCTACAATTAAACAAGTAAGAAAAGAGCACTATTGATTATTTGGATATCTGTTTTAGTTGTGAGAGCATTGGCAAAGCTACTCAACTTTGGAAGCCCTCAGGGCCAAAATGATACTCACAGCACATGCCGAGGGCTGCACCTTAAGTGTGGTTGCATATACAAAAGTCCAGGAATTTAACTACTAAAACACATCAACTCAAACTGCACTGCAGGCCACAGACAAATGGGTTACAGGCTGCATGTTGAGCAGCCCTGGCATAAGGTATCCTGAGGTGCCACTTGGAGCAGGACACAGCATTTCTGTGATTCCAGAAGAGGACATGTAACAAACTGAGTATTTACCTGGAATTATTTGCCAGCAATGGAGTAGTACAATAGTTTCATAACCTCCTTGGGCAACTGTGTGAGGATAAGTGTACTAAAGATTGTGAAGTGCTTTGAGAGCTACTAATGCAATTTTTTTTTATAAGAGATAGGTATTATTATATGGGACGTCAGGCAAATGTTCTTTGTATTACTGCAGATTCTTTAGTATGCCCATTAATTAAAGCATATATATTTGTGGCTGCTAGATTTATTTCACCTTTCATTAAAGGTTCATCAGGCTCTATTATGCTGGGTAAAAAGGAACACTTAAATTATATCTTAAATGTTCTAAATTACCACACTGAAAATGACTTCTCAGTTGCCATCAATAAAGATACATTTCTATTAATAGTAAAGGTTTCCAGAGACAAAATTGAAATAAACCAAAGATGGGACTCAAAATAAATATAATGTAACAGTTAAGGAATGTAACATAATGTAACATAAGGAAGAGTGATTATTCAAAAGGGATCTCAGACATAATAGGGGTATGCTGTTCCATGTAGATTACACCACACTTACAACCATTATGTCTGAGCACCTTTAAGTAGTGAATTAAGCAGCGTGACTAATAACTATTATGAGTTTGAGCTCTCATTTGCTCTCTCATATGAAAAGTAGGTGCAATGAAGTGGCTTTCATTTTGGAATTTTTTATGAAGCACTCAACACACATTGATATATGTTAGGGAAAGCAAAGTCCAGGAAGATGTGCCTTGTACTAGGATAAGAAGTTGTTGGCGTTTGTGATTGTCCTTTGTTCCTGTGGATGTTCATACCAACCCTTGGGAAAGCTCTGTCTCCTGCACAGACAAGCTTTTTTTCTTTTCATTATGTAGGTGGTAATTTCTTTGTGCAGCAGTGATAAGAATGTTCCTGGAATAAAGCATTCATTTCTGGATACCTGAACACAAAACCTATAGGGAGCTCAGACAAGAGTAAGAAAAACATTTGAGGGACTGCAGAGATTTCTTTGAGGAACAGTAAAAGCAGTGAATAGTTTGGTAAACATCTTAAACAGAGAACTGGACTGCCTATGAAATCTGTGTAATATGAAAAATATTGCTAACAATTCTGCTCTGTTTTTGAAAGTAGCAAGATTTAATGTACTACTATGAGCCTTAGCTTATCGGATAGTCGAGTCAACTACTCACAATCCCCTCCCCCCTTGCTGCCTCTATATCAGAGGCAACGGTGTGGAGGGGCTAGGGAAGGTTACTCAGGCAGCAGCCCCTGTCCGTGGAGGGTCCTAATAGGGAGTTGGGACCTCCCCACAGACGGGAGCTGCTGCAACAAAAGCAGCCCCTGTCTGTGGTGCCTGGAGCTGGCTGTGAACAGGGGCTGTGCTGGCAGCCCTGTCAGCAGCAGGCTGGCCGCAAGCAGAGGCTGTTCCACAGCAGCTCCTGTCCGTGGCCCCCATAGAGAGGCGTTGCTGGACCCAGCATGAGCCAGGACTGAACAAGCCTGCCTCGGTCCTGGCTTGCACCAGGTCCAGGAGCTACCCCTACTGCGGTTCTGCAGTTTAAATATAGTAGGCTGACTACATGCCCAGCTCTTAGTGAATTTAAACTGCAGAGCTGCAGCAGAGGTATCTCCTGCTGAGCACCTTCCCTTATCAAGTAATCATGTAGTTGATACAAATTGTATCAACTACCCAATTACCTGCCTCTTAATATCCTTAATGTGAACAACAGATAAGTTGCTTCTACAGCCTGGTCTACATTACGGGGAGAGTGGTCTAAATTATGCAACTTCAGCTACATTAATAGCATAGCTATTAATAGCATAGCCCCCCCCCCCAGCAGACGAGGCTTTTCTCGTGGACGCCTGTGGTAGAGCAGCTGGGGTGCTGCCGGGTTGGTCCCGCAGCGCCGCTCCTCGGCGCTACTGGACCAACCCGGCAGCACCCCAGCTGCTCTGCCCCAGGTGTCCTGATTCAGCTGCTGCTGGTCAGTTTCAGCAGCGGCTGAATCAGGACGCCCGGGGCAGAACAGCTGGGGTGCTGCTGGGTTGGTCCAGTAGCGCCGAGGAGCGGCGCTGCGGGACCAACCCGGCAGCACCCCAGCTGCTCTGCCCCAGGTGTCCTGATTCAGCTGCTGCTGGTCAGTTTCAGCAGCGGCTGAATCAGGACGCCCGGGGCAGAACAGCTGGGGTGCTGCTGGGTTGGTCCAGTAGCGCCGAGGAGCGGCGCTGCGGGACCAACCCGGCAGCACCCCAGCTGCTCTGCCCCAGGTGTCCTGATTCAGCTGCTGCTGGTCAGTTTCAGCAGCGGCTGAATCAGGACGCCCGGGGCAGAACAGCTGGGGTGCTGCTGGGTTGGTCCAGTAGCGCCGAGGAGCGGCGCTGCGGGACCAACCCGGCAGCACCCCAGCTGCTCTGCCCCAGGTGTCCTGATTCAGCTGCTGCTGGTCAGTTTCAGCAGCGGCTGAATCTGGACGCCAGTTCCGACTTACGTACAAATTCAACTTAAGAACAAACCTACAGTCCCTATCTTGTACGTAACCCGGGGACTGCCTGTATAGATATTCTGCACCACTTTGCTATTATAACATTTCACGCTTGTAACTTAAATATATTTGTGACAGAGTCTCCAGAACTGAACCAGATATATCTATAGCCACATGATTATAGTCACACACTATGAATTGATATTCCCATTAAAGGTCTGATAGATGGCTTTGATATTTGCCATTCATAACAGGTACATGATGTGTAAGCCTCTCGTATTGCTTTACCAATCCACCTTCTCTGTTGTTTACAACATCCTGATGAATCTATAGCAGTTACTTATTTAGCATATGCATAGCTGTCTAGCCAATTATGGCATCTTCAGTTGTGTGATGCAGTTCTTCTAGACTATGGATTCCCAAACCAGGGGGGCGTGCCCCCTGGAGGGACATGAAGAAATTCCAGGGATGGTGCGAGGGGCGACCCAGCCTCCCGCTCCCCAATATAGTTTTGCTGCTCAGTTCTTTTTTGCTCAGCAAGTTTTGCTGCTATTGGGGTGGGGTGGGGGGGGTTCAAAAAATCAAAAGGAGGGCATGATGCAAAAAAGTATGGGAGGTTTTCATCAAAAATGTGTATTATTGTCTGTGTTGTGCCACAGTTGCAAAAAAGAGTTATCACAAAGGCCCCAACGATACTGGTTGTCTACTTAGCCCCGCTGATAGCCTAAAATGAGGAAAATCATCTTTGGATGAGACCACCAAACTAATTTAGTTCTTTTACCTTATTTCTGAAAAGAGGATAGGTCAGCATACCTATCCCATTCAATATCTAGCTCTCTGCTGCTGTTTTTTATTAGTTGATGTTGCTGTGAGAATGGTCAATTTTAAATAAGCAATAGGTAGAGATTGTAAACTAACCTGATCTTTCTATGTGAACATTAGCTACAGAAGCAAAGGTTCCAAAACCAAGAGGAAGACCCAAATTAGTGAAACCTCCTTGTTCTTCAGAAAGTGACATGTGAGTTGGATTTTAATATATAATCTTTTTACATAATATAAATCAAATGACTGTTTTTGATAAGCTAGCATAGGGTGACCATATTTCCCTGTGCTGAATATGGAACACCTAGTAAAATTACTCTTTCAGGCAATTTCACTGGCAATCAACCACATCCCCTCTTCCCAAATTTCTGACAGAATTTTCACCAGAATGTGGGCAGCAGTAGCCTTTTGACACTGTGTACAGGAAGGAAGGGGTGGGAGCTGGTTCCAGGGGAAGGAGTATGAAGGAGGGATGATATGGCAGAGTTCCCTTCTCTTTCCCCCGACCAGTGCTCCAGTGTGACTGGAAGCTTTTTGTCCCTTCCTTGCTCACTCAAAGACATCTAACATCTCCTGGCACCTACTGGCCACCAAGATGACCCATCTGTCTCCTGGCTACAATATGTGAAGGAAGGGGTTAAGCCATAAGGATGCATTATGAATCAGGGGCTTCAGCTAGAGAGGTGACTCAGCAGAGGAGGGCACCCTGTGGGACAGAAGAGGGCACACTACAGGAGAGAAGAGGGGGCTGGACTTGATGACCTTCTGAGGTCTCTTCCAGTTCTATGATTCTATGATTCTTGAGGATGGAACAGGACCCAAAGGTTGGGTGGAGGTGAGTGAAGAGGATTCTGTGCCTCTGCCCCAGGAGCTTCTGGAAATTCCTCCACTCCCTTGCCTGCTCCTGCTACTCCAGAGCTTAGCTGAGGGACAGAAAGTCTGTCTTGTAGTGCTATGTGGGGTTTCAGCACATGCAGCCAGCTAGAAATGGGATGGGAAGCAGGTCCCTACTGTCTGAGAGCTAGCAGACAGCAGGAGCTGTGCTGACAGACGAGCAGGTAGAGCAGCAGGCCCCATGCACTGCTTTTCGCCTCACCACCAGCCTTGCACACCCACCAAGATCATCAGCCACTGGACCTTCCCCCATTGATGGTGGGCAGGTGGCTGGCAAGTAGGGACCCACCAGTACTGATAAGGGAAGGCAGAAAATACAGGCCAATTTTTAAGAAAAAGTTAGATTTCATGCAGGAGGCCTTAAATATCAGATTGTCCCTTTAAAAATGAGACATCTGACCACTTAGCATGACTGTGTTACTGAGTGCCTGAGCAGTGTTTTCACTGGGGTATGTGATATGACTGGTTGCTTGATTTGGTATAGGGGAAGCAGCTGCTAAGTAGTTAAATAATCTGTAAGTATGCTATGGTAGGTAAACCTCAGGCATTACAGAAAGCTTTTTATTTTCCTAATTTGCAAAAAAAATTTCAAAGATCTTTATTTTCTGTTGAGTTTTCCTGTACATTTATACCTTAATATAACATTCATTTTTTGTGATGAAGAAGCAGGAAGGATCTTGCAAAATAAACCCTGTGCTAGCCTTTTATAATGGCTTTATAAAGGTGTAAGAAGAAAACCCTAAAATTGCACAGGTGCACACAGTGGGACTGTCACTGCTATGTACACATCACTTTCCACTTATATTGCTCATGCTAGACTTGAACAATCGTAATAATTGAAAGAATATTCTACTATTTGTATATTCTGAACTTAGTTCTCTTTAGAAGGCTTATGGGACATATGTACATCTATATTAGAGATGTGTATTAATGTAATTTATTTGAAAAGGTTAGCATTTACGTCAAACTTAAATGTGCTTAGCTTTAAGGATGTAAGCCTGTCCATTGTGGTAATAGGTACTGCTCACACGCTTAATCAAGTGAACAAGGTTTTACATAGGATTGGGGCATAAGTCCAGGGTCAACATCCATCCTGTTTTTACTGGGACAGTACCTTATTTAAGTCTTCCTCCCAGCGTTCTGATAAAAAAAAAAAAAGGAAGGCACATTATCCTGTATTTCCGTTGCAGCTGGGGGTGGTGGAGAGGAGTTGTTGGTGCTTGGGGCTCTGGTAGCTGAACCCCCGAGTGCCATCAGCTCCCCTCCCTACCTTGCATGCTGCGGGGCTGAATTTCATCCCTGGGGCGGGGGGTGATGAGGCAGGTATCCTCCAGTACTCAGTACTTTAGCTCCTAGACCCCTGAGCACCGGCAGCTCCCCCTCCTCCACTCTGGGGCTGAACCCGCGAGTGCCAGCAGTTCCCCTCATTCCCTCCCACTGCAGGGCAGAAGCCCAAGCACCAGCAGCCCCCTCCCACCTTGGGTCTGAAGCAATAAGCGCCAGCAGGCTCTCCTCACTTAGGGCTAAAGCCCCAAGCACCCTCAGCCGCTGCCCCCCTCCCTTTTGATGTCCCATATTCTGCATAGGGAAATATGGTTACCCTATCTAACTCACTTAAAATGAGAAGAATGATTTTGCATCTCTTTGGCCCTAAATTTACAAATATTTAAGCACGTACTTAACTTTACGCACATGAATAGTCTCGCTGACTTCTTGCACTAACTTCAGAGATCTGTATATATGAATACAATTAAACACAATGAATGCATAAGTGTTTGTTGGGCCCAACTACTGAGCATTGCTATTATTTGTCTCTAAATTCAGAGACAACAGAGAGTAAACTCACTTTCCAAAGATAGCTTTATAATCAAAAAGATTGGGAAATAACTTTTTTAATTTGTAAAGATAAACTATGAAGTGATGAAGCTTTTTTTTTTAAGCACTCTTATCAGCATCTTGTAACTATTTGAACTATCACAGTCTCTTTTTTCCTCTCCTTTTTATTTTCTTTCTCTTTTTTTTTCTTCCACCCTTTTCCCCCTTCCCTTCCCTTCCCTTATTTATTCTTGGATTTGGACTTCTAATACTCCTGTCATCTGAAGAAGTGGGTTTTGATCACAAAAGCTCATACCACCATCTACATGTTTTGTTAGTCTTCAGGGTGCTACTAGACTATTTGTTGTTTTTTAAGTTTTTCTTTTTAATAAAGCATTTATGCAAGTATTCATTTTTCCTTTGGCTATTGAGAATACTTGTCTTTATTTTCTTGGATTTGGACTTCTAATACTCCTGTCATCTGAAGAAGTGGGTTTTGATCACAAAAGCTCATACCACCATCTACATGTTTTGTTAGTCTTCAGGGTGCTACTAGACTATTTGTTGTTTTTTAAGTTTTTCTTTTTAATAAAGCATTTATGCAAGTATTCATTTTTCCTTTGGCTATTGAGAATACTTGTCTTTATTTTTACACTCCTGAAATAAACTGATAGATTCTTATGACATTTTAGTGTTCATGAGGAGGATAAGACCAAGAAAAAAGTACCAGAAGAAAAACCACCAAAAAAACAGCTGAAAAAAGATGAGGAGGGTCAAAAGGAAGAAGACAAACCAAGGAAAGATATTGAAAAAAAGGAAGGAAAAAGAGAGTCTGAGCCAAAAAGGAAAAGTGCCAGTAAAGTGGGTTCTACATCGGCCTCTGATTCTGAAGAGGATGGAGAAGACCAGGAAGGTGATAAGGTAAGATACGAGGGGGTTTTTCAGTAGTTTATATCTTGGCTGCTTGTTTATTCCTTTAAACTGGAGGAAAATATCCGCTGAAAACAATCGTTTAGTGAAGATATGCCCTGAAGCTTATTCCAGATTATCAGTTCTGGACAATAAAGTTGCAGTCTAGTGTTCACACTCCTATGCAGAGGCGTGCTGTGGAATGAGAAGTTGTAGAACTCTCTTCAAAAAGGCCATTTCTATCATCCTTAGTATTAACCAAGAGTAATTTTTAAGTAGCTTTTATTTAAATCCATCCTTGGGCAAGTAGCATTTTTTAATATGTGAAAATGCCATTAGAACCTCGAAACCCTAGGGCTTTTTTCTAAAATTGCTTGTAAGATTATTTGGAAAAGAAAAAAGAATGCTCTGATTATTTTAGAGTTGATTCTTTTTATGGATTCTTTGTCTCTTATTCCTGAAGTTGGGATAAGAGATGATTAGCTCCATTAGAGAGAAGAAAACGAGTGCCAGTCAAACTTAACATTTATTAGCAACACATACATAAGAATCTTACCACTCACTTATTAGATGTAGTTGTGGAGAATTGTAGACCTTGGCAGGTGTCCTTATCAAACAGATATAGTGATGTAGTCCTGAAATTTTGTTTAACTGTCAACATTTTTTTTGATTTGTAGTAATATAAGTATTCCTCTCTTCCAATCCCAAACTCTAAACTTTGTTAAATGAAACAGAAGAGAAAAGGAGGAAGAAACGTTCAGGGTGCCCATAGGAAGAATATGTTAAAAGGCCAACATGAGCGAGATGTAGGAGAGAAAAAACGCAAGCAAGAAGAGCCGATGGAATCTGAGCCGTGAGTATATTCTTTAATATACGCTGGCTGTGCAAGCTGCTAGTAGAGGCTGAGGGTAACATAAAGAGACAAAAGCTGAAGAGGAATTCCTTTAGCGACCAATCTGAAGATACGTGGTGGTGGTTGCCTTTTTTCTAACTTCTAAGTAAATTGAGGATGTGTTACTATAAATCAGTATAAGATACCAATATAATTTGAGGGATGGTGGGAGAAAATTGAACTTCAGAGAAAACAAAGAATACTGTCAATCTCGTAATATCTTAGGCTTCTCAATGTCACGGCAGAGTTGGCAGGTTCGGTCTAGAAATAACATGACTATGAATGTTTCCTATATTCAAGCCTATCGTTATGAAGAAAGAGAACTTAACTATGATCCATATACCTGTTCCTTAAATCTTTAATATGGGAGTCTGAGTGTGTGCTATAGCTCATTAATTCCATAACGCTAGAATTCTGATCAGGTTATGGAATGCATAGGGTTCCCTGGAAAACATTTCCTTCTCTGTCTGACAGCTGGAGACTGCACCGTCAGACAGAACAAGGAAAAGGTTCTGGCTTATGCTGCTCTGGCTCTGCAAAGCCAGTTGAGTGATTTCAAGAGCAGTCTGCACTCAGAAGAGAAACAATCACAAACGAGTGAAGAGAAGATGCTGCCAGAGTTTGGGGAGGTTGTTTTTTTGGGGGGGGGAGGGCCAGGGGGAGAGAGATTTAAACATTAGGAAGAAATCTCTGTGCTGTTTTGGAGAGCAATTCCAGGAATGGGTGAAGAAGGAACCACCAAGAGATCATGATGTCCTCATCCACAGTTGGTTGGGAGGGAGGAAGAAACAAAGCTCTGAGAGAAAAAGGAGATGAGAAAACTGTCCTTCCATCTCCATGTAATGAGAGAGTCTAAAAGGTACCGGTTCCCCTCTAACAATCGGTCTTAATGTATATTAATGCTTAATTCTGTTGTACACTTTTAATTCTGCAACAAATTGTAAAATACTGAATTGGATATTCATTTCAGTACTAATTAAATAAACTCTCATGTGTAAATATCTTTCAAGTTTTCTTTTATGCTTCTCAGGAGCTAGAAACAATTGCATTTAAATTATCATAGGTAGGAGAGCATTTGGGTTTCAGCATAACATGGAATATTCATGGAGTATGTCAACACTAAACCTAAAATTAAAAAAAAATCCTTTAAAAATGTGTTACTTCCTTCTGCAGGGCCCTCTGCCAACACATTGAAAATATGCTGGATTTTTTTAGTCTGTTGCTAGCCATTTTAACTTCATCTTAATGATTTGCTTCAACATTTCATTATTAGTCTTATGAATAGTAATATCCATTTGTTTATCGAAGAATCAACAATTATTAGTGCAATACAAGATACAGAAGGAAGTCTGTTATTCCTCATGGACCTAATAATCTAAAAAGATTTAATTTACAATTTAAAATTGTTCCAATCTTGCTTGTGTATCTTGAATTTGTTCACTGCGCCTCTGTATTATTCCTTTATATTTAAAACTGCATTTTGTTCTGGGCTACAAGTGTCATGAAAGATGATCTATGAAATTGTTTTGTTTTCCTGTAAATCTGTGAACCTATAACTGGTTAGAATGAGAAGAATATTAAGGACACGCTTACAAACTGTTTTTTAGTCAATTTTTTATATATCCGCTATTTCAAAAAATATACTGAATGTGCACTGCAGAAAATGTAATTACAGTTTTCCAAACATAGAATTAGAATTTGTATATACAGTAAACTTCCGATAATCCGGCACCTTTTAGGACCCAGGGGGTGCCGGATTATCAGATATGCCGGACTATCAGAAGGGGGGGCTATGAGGGGTCTGGAGTGGGGTGGGAGGGGATGCCACCCCAGATCCCTCATAGCCCCCCCCTTACGATAGTCCGGCTCTGCCCCAAGCGTCCCTGATTCAGCTGCTGATGGTCAGTTTCAGCAGCAGCTGAATCGGGGATGCCTGCAATAGTGCAGCTGGGGTGCTGCCGGGTTGATCCCGCAGTGCCGAGGGGCGGCACTACGGCACCAACCCAGCAGCAATCCAGCTGCTCTTGGGGACGCCTGGGGCAGAGCAGCTGGAGTGCTGCCGGGTTGGTCCCGCAGCGCCAAAGGACGGTGCTGCGGGACCAACCCGGCAGGACCCCAGCTGCTCTGCCCTAGGGGTCTCCAATTCAGCCGTTGCTGAAACAGATCAGAGGCTGATTCCAGGAAGCCTGGGGCAGAGCCCCGAGGGGCAGGGCTACGGGACCAACCGGGCAGTACCCCAGCTGCACTGTCCCAGGCGTCTCCAAGAGCAGCTGGAGTGATGCTAGGTTGGTGCCATAGCGCCGCCCCTCGGCGCTGCGGGACCAACCCGGCAGCACCCCAGCTGCTCCATTGCCGG